AAGTCTTTAGAGATTTACGTTTGTTGGCAGAATTGTAACTTTTATTTCAAGTTTAATTTTTTTTTATTTTGAGTATAAATTTTATATTTATTTTAAGTTTATATTTTTGTTTAATTGCCGTTAAAAATTATTTCTCCATTGTTTCATTCATTTGATTTACCGAAATGATTATTATATTTTATTACTATAATAATACCAGCTTTTATTTTATTTTTATTTTAGAAGTTTTTCAACTTCTTATAATTTTATGACTTTTATAAAACTAAATAAATGTTTAAAATCATATCAAAGTATTATTTTATAATTAACCGTACTTTTTATAACCCTACAACTATATTGATCAAGGGAATACGATCAAAAATGTATGCTTCGAGCGCTATCACGGAATAACGTACAACGACTCCCGGCATTATCTTCACGAGCCGATTTTTATCTTAGGAATTAGGGACAAACGCGTTGTTCAGCAAAATGCCGATTATTTCTATAAATGACGTTCTACGACAAAAAATCTTGTTTTATAATAATCTTAAAGGTCTAATTAATAAAATATAACAGATTTAGTTCGTCCACTTTCCTATTTTTTCTAAAATTTGCCTTTAAAGTCAAACGTTATTAACATCCCGTTATATGGTACGTTTACATTATACAGTGGCAGTATATAATAAATTTCCTGTTCGGACAGAGGCAGAACTGCAAGATGAGCAGCTATTGACACATGTGACAATAACAGAGATATTAAAATATGATGTTACCCAATGGATAAAAGTAGACAAATCAATTACATATACTGCTAAATATACATATACTGTCATGCCCATGACAGATTTATTTGCAATTCTCCGTAAGTTGAAATATATTCCACATATTTCCAAAATGTACATCTGTCATGCCCATGACAGATTTATTCGCAATTTTCCGTAAGTTGAAATATATTTCACATATTTCCAAAATGTTAACTAACATTTTTTATTATATAAAATAAACCTGTAAACCTATAATAATTCAAAATTTGTTATTTTCAGTGCTTTAGAAGTGAAAGTTGGGTGAACCCAATGCGAGTTTAAATTCTATAAATAATAAGAATACTATATATAGATAAAATAATAAGTTTTAAGATAATAATCACCAAAAATTTAGTTAAGTTAGTTTAATTTTGTTATTTTCTAGTAATATAAATAAAATTCTTCTTAATAAATATATTATTTATGGAGTTACAGTTTTAGCTCATTCAATATTTATAACTATATGGATTATTTATATTTAATACAAATAAGCACGGAAATTATGCAGCAATTGTTACACTATATACCGCCATTTTGACCCATCGCGATACCATTCTATCCCTATAACACACCCGTATTGAACCCAAATGGGTCAAACCAGGGCTCTGACATACGTGTCACCATGGGTTCACCTATGTTCATATATGGTACCAGTGGGTTGACAATAGGTTAACCCTACAGCCCATTATGACGACCATAGGTTGACCCTATGTCAACCATGTGCTGTGTGGGTACTTTTAATCACTCATAAACTCATTTATTTTTTATTGATTAAGTCCATTATTTACACATGTCGGGAAGCTCATGTAACTTGCCTCAAGGCAAAATACCAATAATAACTAGTTTGGATTTCAATTGAATTTTACTTGATCTTTTATTGTATAGCATAATGAATTTCTTATCGTTTTCTTAATTTTGCAATCACAATAAATAGAAAAACGTATGTTATCTTATGAAATAAAGTTGTTATAAGAATAATGTGTTCACATTTAGATCTTGTCTAGCTTTGTAATATAATCTTCTTATAATCTTATATATGAAAATAGAGCTACGAGACAGAACCTTTTTTACTGACTACATAACGGGTGGTCCATCTAGTGGTCCTAGTGATCTAGTGATATTTTTGTAAAGAAAACATATAAAGTATTCAATTGATCTTATGACTCACAAAATTACAGTATCGGCGATCTATATTGTCCGCCAAGGCACATAATTACTGAAAATCAGTTTACAACTTTTTTGCCAACCTTGGTAATTTGTTCATTGCGGGAGGTAATTATAACGCAAAGCACACATTTTGAGGACCTAGAATATATTTGAACAAAATTCCAGAACTCCTCGACTTTGTCGTAACCAAAAATATTAAAAACGAGGTGTTGAAATAAATTCAAGCTTAGATTTCAATTCTGATCAATCACCAGTAATTCTTAAATAATCCAAATACACTCCAACCAAAGTTATGAGTTCGCTTACAAACAAATTTACCGATTGGCATCTTTTCCAAGAATACATCGAAAACAACATCAACTGTAATATTCCACTAAATAGTGAGAATTATTTGAACATCGGTATCAACAACTTTATAAATACACTAATTACATCAGCTAAAATAGCGACTCTTATTCTAAATCAAATTAAGGAAATTAAGAAGAATTTGGCAAATAACTATCTATAGATCAACTGAAGATAAAAGAAGCTTTAACAGTGCGTGCAGAGATCTGAAAAAAATAATAATAAATTATGAAAATGATGTTTTTGAAAATTACTTACATATAATCTTTTAGCAAGTAATGAAACAAATTATTTTCTTTGGAAAGCGAGCAAAAAATTAAAAAGATCAATTGTATCTATTCCTCCATTAAGAAATACAGACGGTTTGTGGGCAAAAAGTCTAGAAGAAAAAACTGATGCATTCGCCGAACACCTGCGCCTCACATTTCAGTCATTTTCACGGAAATGAAATACTAATGATGAGCCATTCATTTACGATTTTATTCAAGAATCGCCGTCGCTAGTGACTCATAATGTTAATCGTTTTAATTCGACTGAAGTAACTCAATGTAACGTCAAATCGCCTAACATAGAGAACTATTTATGCTTATTTATCTATGTGCATATATATTATCAAACAGGACTCGATCTGTTTACTTGGACGATGATGAATGGTTCGGTAATAATATCAGACAAATTAAATTAAATCAAATTAAATATCAAGCTCGGTGTCCCTCAAGGTTCAATACTTGGTGCCTTATTATTTCTTATATATATAAATGATCTCCCAAATTTTTCTGATATTTGTTTTGATCTTTCAGATTAAATTTAGTAATGGCTTCAATTTCCAATTGGTTCAAATCCAATAATATTTTACCCAATAATGATAAAACTTAACTAATGATAATGTCATTTCGTACTGTTAATAAAATATAAATAACGAGATAAACTCGCTGATCAAAAGTTCTTAGGCATACAATTGCATAAAAACTTAAACTGGGACTTATGCTTCTTTATCTACGACAGGGACTATCATATTGATTTTATATGAACACCTAATTTAACGAAAACGTATTTTATGTTGAGAGTCCTTAAATTTATTACTCTAATTTTTACTCGCATCTTGCGTATGGAATCCAGTTTTGGGGATTCTCTCCATCTCTTAACCGCATTTTCAAACTTCAAAACAAGAATACAATATCACCTAGGATTTTTTTACCCAAAATAATTGTTTCCATAATGCTGCCCATAATTTTTATAATCTAGTACTATTATATTAATTGTTTTCAGCAATAATAAAATTTAAATTACATTTTCCTTAATAATAATTTGATATATATTATTACTTAAGTAAATATTTTAAGTGAATTAATTGGTCAAAGCCTGTTCATATGTGCATTATTCTATCTACGATCCATGAAATTAGTGCAGTAAATAAATGGGGAGAAAAAAGGGTGTAACCTGTGAACTTCTTTACTGTGCTCCAATTTGCGTGATATTTTGGAATTTCTTGAACCATGTTAATTCTAGATAAAATACAATTAATTGTAATTTCAGTGGAAATGACACTCATAAAACTCTTCGATTTAAATGAAAAAAAAAAAAAACAGATCCTGACAGTACGCATTTTAAAGCTTATTTTAAGCATTATAAGACTTCATGGAATATATAAAATGTAACACTTTGTCCCTAGACGGCTTCAAATAAAACAACTAATAAGTTTAGATCGAAATAAAAAATTGACTTCGCTTTTTCATATCTATCAATATTGTGGATATTGGAGATATTTGCAAAAAACGATGGAAAACGCCAAAAAGAAACGAATTTTCAGTAGCCAGTAACTTGAAAAGTATTTGCCATTTTGAAAAACATAAAACATTTTTCTATTATAATTAGTTCTTTTATCGGCATCCGACGTTATTTTGAAAAAAATAAAATTACACCACTGAGAAGGAACGTCATCCACCTGGGAAGTGGCAAAGGAGTCTTATTTTCACTTTTGAACTTGAAAGTAAGATGAACCTAATTCCAAAATTTCATACAAATTGGAGCACAGTAAAAAATTCAGACTCAAAACGCTCCATTGATTTGAGTAAATATTCCGTGTGTCCAATGCCAAACATATGAATTTTTGATGCAATGAAACTTCTAAATAATTTTTTGAATAAGTAATTTTTTTTTTGTATTGTGATTTAGTAAAGTAAGGCATAACACGACTGCATTAGTTGAAAAATAATAAAATAAGTTTGATTTGCAATCACTGACAGTCCCCAACCGGCAGAAGTATGCGCAGACTGTGCATGCGGTATTTTAATTTTTTCCATTTATTTCTGCAATGTAACTATATATCTATAATCACAACGTCCTGAAAAGTTCCCTTAACAAACTTCAAAAAGATTTATCAAAATCTGAATAATCGTTTAGGAGGAATATCCTCTCATACATCATTACAGAAGAATTTTATATATAAGATATAAATTTGAATTCATAGTTTGATTTTGAAACATATTCCAGACGTGTTTTAATGCCGAATAGTCAAAATAAAAAATGATAACTACTTGTATTATTTAATGTGTATATTTCGACCAACACTGATATATATATATATATATATATATATATATATATATATATATATATATATATATATATATATATATATATATATATATATATATATATATATATATATATATATATATATATATATATATATATAATGTGTGCAACTATGACTATATAATATACTAAAAGTGTCTTATTAATAAATCTAATATGAAGATGTTATCATGCTCCTGATTCAAAGGGTATAAGTGCAAGCAATTATAAAGAATTAATAATTTTCCTCTTGCGCATTTTCTCTACCCACTCGTCTAATTGTTCTTGTGGTGTCTTTGGAGTCTTATAATAATATTTTGGTGGTGGCCCTTCTTCTAATCTACAATGAATAATTACATTATCATCAAAATTACATTAAGTTTACATATGTATATATACCTAAGTCTGTTTTTACACGGTCTTTTTGTACACGGTTTTGATATAACACGGTTTGAAAATTGAATATTTTTAATTTTTTTACACCAATTTATTCCATTTAGCACGATTTGAAATTTTATGTACCTAAATTTTTTTTGTCAAATTAAATTTTTGCGAAGTATGTTCATATCACAAAAAAGTATTTATGAAAGAAAAATGTCTGAAACCATCGATAGTATCGATAGTTTGCGAACACTAGCTTAAAGATTTAAGTGAATTCCCCTTTAGCGCGTACAAACAATTTTTACTGGTCAAAGCAAATGTGAATAGCACTAATTTAATTCTTGTTCTTAAAAATTCTTGTTTTTCACCAATTTTAATAGGTTTTAGAGATTAGGAACAAATCACCCATTTTTGTATAAGATCAATGTCTTTTTTTACACGGATTCTTCTGGAACCAATAACCGTGTAAAAACAGACTTAGGTGTATATATATATATATATATATATATATATATATATATTCATATAATAAAATAAGGTACCTAACAAAGTAATGGCAATATTTATATTCAATTATCCCTTGCCTTAGTCTTGCATGACGCCGTAAACCTTTGATAGTATGCGCTTTACCAACAAATGACTCAGCTAAAACATTTACATATACAATATAAAATAGACATACAATTATTGACAATGTATATATATATATATATATATATATATATATATATATATACATATATTTAATTGATATTTGCTGTGTATTCAGGTTGAATGTATATGCTGACATATGTATGTTTTGTACCCGTACACAATTATTTATATTATATAGGTATGCATATATGTCGTATTGTCCAGTGCAACAAAATCTTTACCCTTTTACAAACTTAAAATATATATCCTTTTTTATAATTCACGTAAGTGCAAACCATAAAATAATATAGCTGCCCGGCTGACAGATCTCACATATTGTGATGCGACAAAAATTAATTATAGTTAGTTACTGCGTTAAGTTAACATATATTTTTAAACAAAAGTTACTCAACTTAAAATTTTATTTTGAGTTGAGTAACTTTTTCATTAGTGCTTCATACATATAAAAAATAGTGATATGGATATATAAATCAATATTGCAGGTAAATAATTTTTGCTTCTCAATTTATTGTTTATATTTTTCTTCTTTCATGCTTCATTTTTTGAGAAAAAGTATATAATCCATTCATATTGTTCTTGACAGAAGAACCTGATGGTGGAACGTACCTAGTTCCGAAACGTCGTAATTAAACATCTACAAAAAAACTTATTGTTTTTTATTTATTGAATTAATTCTTCGGAAAAGAAACCCTTATCAATATATACGTATAGCTGATATTTTTTTTCAGATGGTGATAAATTTGTTGATAAAACAAAACACTTCTTATCAGGCATTCATCCAGAAAATAAAATAGAAAGAAAAAAAACTAAAATATGTTTCTTAAAATAAATTTAATAAACTATGTGTTTTGAGCCCCAATTTGACTCTTCCTCAGTGGAAACAAAACACCCAAAAAATTAAGACACAAATACAAAACCATGATAATAAAAATATTATTTCACAATTTCATAAACACCATGTTAGTGAAAAAAATAATCATTTCAACCATCACTCTTCAAAGGATGAAGTATGATACAATCATAGTGAATCATGATAAAGCCCAATCGGCCACAGTGATATATTGCTTAATATAGCTTATTTTTAAGAAAATATGTCCAGCTATAATGACCTATGAGCAATTCCTTTGCATCACAAAAATCAAAACAATAACTGGAAGCAGCCCTATATAGCAGGAGATTTGATGTTTTTTGGCTTAAATTGTTGTGCAAGCAGGGTTTTAAAATTCGACATAATATTGTGGTGAAAAAAAATGTTTCTCTCATTCGTCCCTCTTAGCAGAAATAGCGCTTCAACATATTTTAAGAATTTACAACAAATAAATCTTTTATTATCGATTTGAAGACAGCATAATAACGCCATACATTTCAAACAGTGACACAACAGCTCTTATAAATGATTTTAACACCTATAATAAATACTAATAATTTACTTATGAGTTTGAGATTTATCACTCTACTACAACCAATTGGTACTATAAACAATAATGTAATGCCTAGGCAAATACCTCAACTATCATTTTTACTACCAACTTTCTACTGAGACTGGAGCAATCATTAATTCAATAGATCATGCTTTATTATTATCACATAATAAATTCTAAATGAACAACCTACCACAACATCTGATCCTAATAATAACCAAAAATAAAACTATAATCTTTTAAAATTGCCACAAATTTTCAATCAAAAACCAAACTGCAAAAACTATGTAGAAACTATCACTTTACCTTTTATAAAAGATTCATATTACTCATAAAGAAAAATTTTCATTAAGCAAAACATTAATGTTTGTATTTTCAAAAATACTTTTACTCAACCATATTTACTGAATTAAAATCAAAATTAATTATACAACATTTAAGTTTTTATGCTGCTTGACAATCTCTATGTAAATCGAAATGTATATTACATAATTCAAAGTCGATTTAATTATTTTACTTGATGTTACTGCTTAAATCAACATTACTTATTACTCACTTTTCAAGTACACCATATGTTCATACCAAATAAACTCGTAATGAGTTGAACATAAGCTTCTTTAAATATGTTTTTGATACCTACCAACCCACAGATTGCTTCTAAATTCAACATTGTGTTGTTCAACAGCCAGTTCTCGTGCTTCTTCAATTGCTTCCCTCACATATAGAGATCCCTTTTTCAGTAAAAAGCTCAATTGTTTAATGGCTTCATCCACAGACATACCTCGTACTAGACATGCAATATACCAAAGTTTCTCAGGACTATACTTGATAAATTTTTTTGCATGGCAAACATACTGAAAAATATCAGTTGCATTATAATTTATAAGTATAAAACTGCATTATTATTTTGTTATCCAGCCAAATTTAGAAACTACATTGTTTCTTATGAACATTATTCAATAAACTTGTTAGTTGTTAAAATGTGATTTATAAACAATTAAATGTTTATAAATAAAAGTGATAAAATTTATATACATAACATATTTATTCTCTATTTATCATCATCTATAATGCTAAATAGTTTCTAATTCTAACAAATGATTGATGAAAACTTGAGTTAATTTGAAGCAATCAAACACAAACTATTAGTAATATCTATCTGGCATGGTATCCTCCTGTTGAATTTATGCATTAATTTAATTAGAATTATAAATTTTCTAAAAGCGAAAAATTGTACAAAACGATATAAAAAACAAACAAACATGAATATGAATAGCAATACCAATAAATAATTACGACAATTACTTTTAAAATTGGTCGATAAAATTGGACTTTCAACAATGCCCACAATGAAAAGCAAAAATGATTCAATGAAGAAGTGCATTTATTCATAAGATAGAATTAAAGTTAACAATTTTATGAATGATTACATACAGCTGGTCTTTCAGGTTCCTCAGATTTAGTCGGTGGAAAGATCGTGTTATTGTAAGACAAAAACTTTTGTGGACCTTCAGATCTATCTGTGCGTTGCAAGGAACTAGATGTATGAAATAAACTTCCCCTAAATAATGAAGTTATTTTGCTATTTTGATTAGCATAAGTTAAGCACTCTCGTACATTTTGCATTTTGGCTAATTTAGGAAATACTATCATGTTATATCATAACTTAGTTAAAACAAAGTAATATATGAAAATAAAACAATATTTGTCAACTATTGATTATAACTTAATGGCAATGACCAGTTAAAAACAATTATATTGTTGTTAACTTAAACTTGGTACTAAACTTGATGCAAATTTAAGGTTATAATCCTAGACAATAGAATAGAATTCTAAATAAATTTGACATGTATAAAACCATAGATAAGCGAATGGCCGCTAATCTCCGAACAAATGTCTGTATCTGCGATTTTAGTTACAGCTCCGGCCGTCGGTCACGCTTATTTTCGTTTTGATCGAATATGACAGAGACGTAAATCAAACATGGCGTCATTGTAAATGTTGTGCCAAAAGCGTGAATGAGAAATACGAACTTAAAGCAGAAATAAAATATAACATCGGTTTGATTTGTTGTTTTATTATAAAAGAAAACTAGTTGGTATTGGTATTTTGGATTGAGGCAAATTACATGAACTTCCCGATATGTATAAATAATTGACTTAATCAATAAAGTATTCCGAGTAGATTTATAACACTTAATTGAAAACAAACAAACTCGTTAACTTGGAGTATTTTCTAAAAGTAAATTTTCAAAAATCAATAAATTTTATAATTGAGCCAGTTTCCATAGGACTTTAATGGTTTAGTACGTTTATTAAGACCAAGTACTCTATCGTTATACCAAGTAAATTGCCTAATTTTAAGTTTAAAAAACGTCAAAAAAACTACTCATTTTTTCAAACTTTGATAAATTTTTAAAATTAAACTACTTGTCGTAAGGCCGTATTATTTCGGTAAGTTCTATAAGACCATGATAGATAACGCCAAATAAAGTTCCATAAAAATCATCTTAATTGTTTTTTAACAGTTAATTGCAAGAAAACGGCTCGGAAGATTTTTACCTAAAACTAATCAGTATCATTCCCAACTAATATATTTCGAACAGTTTTTGATTTTTTAAAATCGGTTTGGTAGTTTGAGGTTAAATGTGGACGAAAAGTTTAAAACTTTTTTTCAAATTACAAAGAAACGGCTCGGCAGACCGTCTCACAAGACTGACAAACGATAGTCCTCATTGAGACACATCAAATGGCTTTTAAATTTCTTAAATCGGTTCAGGCGTTTTTGAGAAAACATCGATCAAAGGTCTAATTTTGAAAAATGCCAAGAAAACGATACAAATTTTTGCAAACTCTGAAGAATTTTCAAAATTAAACGGCTTGTCGTAGAGCTGTAATATTTTAGTATGATATAGAAGACTATGGTATCTACCGTCAAAAAAAATCATAAGAATCGTCAATTTTTTTTTTTTTAAACTTTATTACAAGAAAACGGCCCAGCCGATCTTTATTAAAAACTAATCAGCACGTATCCCAACCAATATCTATCAAAAGGTTTTTGAATTTTCAAAATCGATTCAGAATTGCGGGCTAAAAGGTGGACGAAATTTTTTTCACTTTTCTACAATTTATAAAGAAACGGCCCGGCCGATCGTCGCACAAAACTCGGAAACGCTAGTCCTCATCGAGATACATCGATCGGCTTTTAAATTTTTGAAATCGGTCCATCCGTTTTGGAGAAAACGTGGATTTACGGCAAAAAATCTGTTCACACACACACATACTTTTTCCAAATTTGGTCTCATTCGATTCAGAATGGTTTGAAACGTCGAGAAAACATAAAATTAGCGAGTCGTTTTTATTTATGAAAACATAAACTTCTCCTTCGGGAAGTTAATAACTCAATAAAATCAATATTATTGTCTATTCTCTATAATTAATTATTTGTCAGGAATCTATAATTTAAAAATGACAACACGGTGCAGTATTTTTTAACTTTTTATTCAATATCTCACCAGTCCGTCTCTACGCGTTCACTCTATACAACTCTCTGTCTCCGACTTCCTTCTCGCCTACATTCACTCTGTTCGTACTGTCACTATTGCCAACTGCACACACGCACAAGTCTTACCAACCGCACGGGACTGTCATGATCCGCGCCATATTCAAACATCCATTCAAACATTCACACAATATATTTCGCTAACAGTTCGGCCAAACCTGACCCCACAATCGCCCTCGATTGTCTAACAAAATCTACTTAGCGAAATATACAAATTAACATCAAAATACATTATTTTACAAGTTGTTACCACATTATAACAATATAATATTTCATTTATTTATTATTGTCCTTAAACTTACTGTCTTTAATTCACTTATTGTCCTTACTGTCTTTAATTCACTTATTATCCTTACGCACTCATAGTCATTCTTCACTATTCATTAACTTATTCACAACATTATTCACTTTCATTATTTGTCATTATTCACTTTCACAAATTGTCATCAATACTCACCTCAACGCTTCACCTAAATTTCTTAAAGTTTCTTTCTACGCTTACTAAAATAACTGATTAATCCTAAAAATAATCGCAACTGTTTAAATGTCTTTGGAACTGGATGATTCATCACTACACTAACATTAGTGTCACTAGGTCTAATGCCATCCTAGCGAACATAATACCTTAAATAGACCGTGTGCCTATAAACAAAATACACTTTCGAATTTTCAACTTTAATTTGTTCACACTCAATGTCTTCATATGCTTAATTACCTCCTTGCTTGATGTACTTTGGCAAGCAAACAACTTCACAAACTTCGACTCTCGCGATAACACTCTGACTGTCACTCCAATACTTGAACAAGTAACTCGTCCTCAATCCATTTATTTTACGTTCTACTCCAGCATGCCACAACTGCTCATGTTCAATCCTAATTACATTACCCACCATTTGCTCTAGCTCACACCTTATGGCTTTTATCTCCTCGACTGGGTTTTGTTTCAGAACCAACACTCTCTCAAATGAGTTTTCTTTCTCCCCCAATAGTTCATGACATCGACTGAATGTATCGACATGTTGCATCCTAGCTGCACTTCGATGTTCCAGCTCATAGTCGTAATTCTCTCCAATCCTTTGCTGCGACTCCACTTTTAAAATGTTTCCTACATCAACCTCCTTATCATTATCTTTATCACTTATGTCGATTACCAATACATTATTACTTATTTACTCTTTTCGATCACTAGTCACCTTTTTCCCTATGTCAATATTTAAATCTTCATGATTGAGCAACATCGTCGTACTGTCGGGCACCTGTTGCGCAGGCTGCACCGATTGCTGCCCTCTACTGTTATTTCGCCAACAATCTTTCTGCGCGTGGCCTAGCTTTCCGCATGTATAACACGCGCTACTTCCGTCATTTTTAGGCTTGACGCATCTTGAAGATAAGTGCCCCATACCTCCACAATTAAAACACTTCACCGTAGGATACACGCCTTGCGGTTCCTAGGAAACCCTGCTGACTGTATTCTTTCGGGCTGAACCAAACTAACGGCCCGTTCCGCTGGCGTTAGCTCGTTCATAACACTCAATAGCGTACCCAAATCCTGGAAACGATTTATTTTTGCCTGGGCCTGAAGTAGCGGATTGTCGAACTCATCGGTCATCATCGCTAACCCCCGCTCGGTTGCCCAGCGCCATCTTCTCCTGGGAGTAGGAGCTAAAGGGTTCCTGTCTACGCCATCTCCGGGCCTCGAACCTTCTCATTCTTGTCATGCGATCTGCGCTGTTCTGGAAGAAAGCTGTCATCGCCCTTTTAATTTCGTCATATGTATAAGTGGCGTATTCTGGTTTGCTAAAAAACCACGACTTAGCAGCTCCTGTCAATTTAGATATCATTAATACCGCCATCTTCCTTTTGGTCACGTCGTATGGCTTCAAGGCGTACGGCTTCAATGCGCTCGAAAAACGAATTCACAATTCATTCATAAAATTGTTAACTTTAATTCTATCTTATGAATAAATGCACTTCTTCATTGAATCATTTTTGCTTTTCATTGTGGGCATTGTTGAAAGTCCAATTTTATCGACCAATTTTAAAAGTAATTGCCATAATTATTTATTGGTATTGCTATTCATATTCATGTTTGTTTGTTTTTTATATCGTTTTGCACAATTTTTGCTTTTAGAAAATTTATAATTCTAATTAAATTAATGCATAAATTCAACAGGAGGATACCATGCCAGATAGATATTACTAATAGTTTGTGTTTGATTGCTTCAAATTAACTAAAGTTTTCATCAATCATTTGTAAGAATTAGAAACTATTTAGCATTATAGATGATGATAAATAGAGAATAAATATGTTATGTATATAAATTTTATCACTTTTATTTATAAACATTTAATTGTTTATAAATCACATTTTAACAACTAACAAGTTTATTGAATAATGTTCATAAGAAACAATGTAGTTTCTAAATTTGGCTGGATAACAAAATAATAATGCAGTTTTATACTTATAAATTATAATGCAACTGATATTTTTCAGTATGTTTGCCATGCAAAAAAATTTATCAAGTATAGTCCTGAGAAACTTTGGTATATTGCATGTCTAGTACGAGGTATGTCTGTGGATGAAGCCATTAAACAATTGAGCTTTTTACTGAAAAAGTGATCTCTATGTGTGAGGGAAGCAATTGAAGAAGCACGAGAACTGGCTGTTGAACAACACAATGTTGAATTTAGAAGCAATCTGTGGGTTGGTAGGTATCAAAAACATATTTAAAGAAGCTTATGTTCAACTCATTACGAGTTTATTTGGTATGAACATATGGTGTGTTTGAAGAGTGAGTAATAAGTAATGTTGATTTAGGCAGTAACATCAAGTAAAATAATTAAATCGACTTTGAATTATGTATTATACATTTCGATTTACATAGAGATTGTCAAGCAGCGTAAAAACTTAAATGTTGTATAAGTGATTTTGATTTTAATTCAGAAAATGGTTGAGTAAAAGTATTTTTGATAATACAAACATTAATGTTTTGCTTAATGAAAATTTTTCTACATAGTTTTTGCAGTTTGGTTTTTGATTGAAAATTTGTGTCAATTTTAAAAGATTATAGTTTTATTTTTGTTTATTATTAGGATCAGATGTTGTGGCAGGGTGTTCATTTAGAATTTATTATGTGATAATAATAAAGCATGATCTATTGAATTAATGATTGCTCCAGTCTCAGTAGAAAGGTGGTAGTAAAAATAATTGCCTAGGCATTAATTACATTATTGTTTATAGTACCAATTGGTTGTAGTAGAGTTATAAATCTCAAAATCATAAGTAAATTATTAGTATTTATTATAGGTGTTAAAATCATTTATAAGAGCTGTTGTGTCACTGTTAGAAATGTATGGCGTTATTATGCTGTCTTCAAATCGATAATAAAAGATTTATTTGTTGTAAATTCTTAAAATATGTTGAAGCGCTATTTCTGCTAAGGAGGACGAATGAGAGAAACATTTTTTTTTCACCACAATATTATGTCGAATTTTTAAATCCTGCTTGCACAACAATTTAAGCCAAAAAACATCAAATCTCCTGCTATATAGGGCTGCTGCCAGTTATTGTTTTGATATTTGTGATGCAAAGGAATTGCTCATAGGTCATTATAGCTGGACATATTTTTTTTAAAAATAATCTATATTAAGCAAGATATCACTGTGGCCGATAGGGCTTTATCATGATTCACTATGATTGTATCATACTTCATCCTTTGAAGAGTGATGGTTGAAATGATTATTTTTTCACTAACATGGTGTTTATGAAATTGTGAAATAATATTTTTATTATCATGGTTTTGTATCTGTGTCTTAATTTTTTGGGTGTTTTGTTTACACTGAGGAAGAGTCAAATTGGGGCTCAAAACACATAGTTTATTAAATTTATTTTAAGAAACATATTTTAGATTTTTTTCTTTCTATTTTATTATCTGGATGATTACTTGATAAGAAGTGTTTTGTTTTATCAACAAATTTATCACCATCTGAAAAAAATATCAGCTATACATATTTATTGATAAGGGTTTCTTTTCCGAAGAATTAATTCAATAAATAAAAAACAATAAGTTTTTTTGTAGATGTTTAATTACGACGTTTCGGAACTAGGTACGTTCCATCATCAGGTTCTTCTGTCAAGAACAATATGAATGGATTATATACTTTTTCTCAAAAAATGAAGCATGAAAGAAGAAAAATATAAACAATAAATTGAGATGCAAAAATTATTTACCAGCAATATTGATTTATATATCCATATCACTATTTTTTATATGTATGAAGCACTAATGAAAAAGTTACTCAACTCAAAATAAAATTTTAAGTTGAGTAACTTTTGTTTGAAAATATGTGTTAACTTAACGCAGTAACTATCTGTAATTAATTTTTGTCGCAGCACAATATATGCGATCTGTCAGCCGGGCAGTTATATTATTTTATGGTTTGCACTTACGTGAATTATAAAAAAGGATATATATTTTAAGTTTGTAAAAGGGTAAAGATTTTGTTGCATTGGACAATACGACATATATGCATACCTACATAATATAAATAATTGTGTACGAGTACAACACATACATATGTCAGCATATACATTCAACCAGACAGACAGACAGACAGACAGAAATAAAAATTTATTCGTTACATTGGTACATACATTGAATCAAACGTGGGTTCCTCTACCGTGAGGTATTCTACCCAAAAACTATTTTAGTTTTACAACATATTAATATTTGTACAATATTTTATATATTATTAAGGTAAACGTACCATATTACGGGATGTTAAGGAACGTTTGACTTTAAAGACGAATTTTAGAGAAAATAGGAAAGTGGACGAACTAAATCTGTTATATTTTATTAATTAGACTTTTAAGATGATTATAAAACAAGATTTTTCGTCGTAGAACGTCTATTTATAGAAATAATCGGCATTTTGCTGAACCACGCGTTTGTCCCTAATTCCGTGATAAAATTTGGCTCGTGAATATAATGCCGGGAGTCGTTGTACGTTATTCCGTGATAGCGCACGATGCTTACATTTTTGATCGTATTGCCTTGATCAATATAGTTATAAAAAAGGGTTATAAAAAGTGCGGTTAATTATGAAATAATACTTTGATATGATTTTAAACATTTATTTAGTTTTATAAAAGTCATAAAATTATAAGAAGTTAAAAAACTTCTAAAATAAAAATAAAATAAAAGCTGGTATTATTATAGTAATAGCAGTATAATTATCATTATCAATACTGTTTCGGTAAATCAAATAAATGAAACAATAAAGGAATAATTTTTAACGGCAATTAAACAAAAATATAAACTTAAAATAAATATAAAATTTAAACTCAAAGTAAAAAAATTAAACTTGTAATAAAAGTTACAATTCTGTCAACAAACATAAATCTTTAAAGACTTTACAATAATCTTTAAAGACTTTCAAGTTAACAATAACCACTAGCTCAAATTAGGTTTGATTGGGAATTTTGTATGTTTTAGAAGCTTTAAAATACATTTAATATAATATGGCAAATTTCTTTTAAAGCCTTTTTTCAGGGTTTTGGGTGAATATTTAATTGGAGCCATCGTTCTTTGAAAAACTAAAAGTCCGATTTGAAATCATATCCAATTAAATTTACTGATCTTGAATATAATTTTAATAATATTTAATATATTATATTAGACTATTAGAAAGTTACTGCATTGAAGAGTAGCCTCGGCATCTTATTTTCGAGTAATTGCAATTCATATTAATTTAATAACTTACGATGTATGTTTGTTTTAATAATATGCAGGTTATATAATGGTTATATTCCAAAAGCTTAATCGGATGAAAACTATCGTGTTAACAGGAATGTCCCTAGATCTCTGCATACATACATACATACCAGCGCCCTAGTATATCCGCGCCCTATAAGTACCGTGCGCTATACCGGTTATACCTGTATTTTTATTCAATTTATATAATAGAAATAATTGATCATAGATGAAAAGGTAGAAATAAATGATACTCTTATTACTACAATATTCTAGGTATATTGGAACAATGCAAATAAGTGAAAAAAATCATGTACTTTCTTACTGGAGAGTAGTCATTTCAAACTCAATTATTAGGGTTAAAAATTAAAAAAAACATATATCGTAATTACGTTACAGTATTCTGTAGTCATTAACAAACTTAATAACACCAGAAACACCGCCGAATTTAAGCACAGTTGAAAATAAAAGATGAAACTATTTCAAGTCTGCTTCTCGTAATTGCGGGATACTCACGGAATTAGGTTCACTGGTTCAGTTGTGTGAACCTAATTACGGGAGTTATGAAATTGATAATTTCTTAACAAATATATGCTCGATTTAACTATAAAACTAATCTCTTATTATTACTGATCAAAAATTTCACACATTTGAATCGATTAAGCTTATCGGAATCAAATAAAAACCTTAAGCAATGGAACCGTCACATAACCTAACTCGCTAACAAGCCAGCACGAAATGGCGATCGGGTTACGACCGATGCTTTCAAAAGCTTTTTACGGCTTAGAAACTAATATTTGAATTCGAAAATCGTACTATTTTATTAAGATTCAAATTATAATTGATGTGCTGTTGAATAAAATTATTATTTATTGACCGTTTTCATATTTTGCGATCAAAATGAAAAACTCCCGTAATAATGTACTATCCCGGAATAGTGTACGTTTACCTTATACAAGGACAAAAAAAGGAGACAACTTTTGTCTCCTAAAAAATTCCTTCATTCATTGTTTTATAACTTATGTATTCACTGCGGGCTCGATCAGGTAGTTAGGCATGGCATAATTCCCGTACCAGATCATTTCTGATGTGTACTGGCCTAACGCGCGGATGGTACTATTATCGTGATCCCTACACTTTCGGTAAAAATTCTCGGTGAGCTTTTTTATGTGTTCGAGTATGGTCGGTATGTCCGTCTGTTCGTGTAAATATTTCGTTGAATAGTAGTGTCTCGTCAGTGGGTCCCTTGATTTGTCTAGTACCAATCTCAGTGCTTTGTTCTGTGCTATTTGTAGTCTCCGTCTGTTGGCCTTGGTTGTCGCGTTCCATGCCGGAGCGTCGTATGTCAGTAATGGTCTTATCAGTGTCAAGTAAAGTGTCCGCTTGTTCTTCACGCTTAGCGGGCTGTTGTGGTTCAAAAGAGGTCTCAGTAGATTCATCATCCCGTAAGCCTGTCCAATTTTTGTATTCGTATGTTTTGTGAAGCTGAGTCTATAGTCCAAGGTTACGCCAAGGTATTTGACTTCCTTGGACCACTCAGCTTCATAGCCCATTACCTTTAGTTTCGTCAAGTCAGTAAGTGTAATGGACCAACGGCTTTTTGTAAAGAAAATTGCTTCTGTTTTAGAAGGATTAATTTTAATTTGCCATTTGCCAAGTAAGTGTAATGGACCAACGGCTTTTTGTAAAGAAAATTGCTTCTGTTTTAGAAGGATTAATTTTAATTTGCCATTTTTCCGAGTAATCAGTCAGGGCGTCTATATGTCTCTGTATTTTTGTAGTCAGTAGCGTAGGTGAACGAGATGATCTGTAAATGGCAGTGTCGTCAGCAAATGTCAACAGTGTTGTGTCGGCGTCAGTGGGCATGTCGTGGATGTAGACGTTAAACAAGGACGGTCCCAGGATCGAGCCCTGCGGTATTCCCGCCGTCACTTGTTTAATCGTCGAGGGTGTGT